ACCCACTTGCCCGTTGGTAACTGGCCACAACCAACCTGCCAACGACACCTACGACAAACCCAATGAAGCTAAATAGCTTTCATTTCACTAATGGCAAGCCAAATTCGCTTGCTGATGTGGTTGGGTGTATATTTGGGGCTTAGTTCATCATTCAGTAAATCAGTTAGTCAGTCACCCAGTCGGTTTGGTCTGACGATTCGGCGACGCCAGCAAAATAAAATAAAACACAACAACCGTTTGTAAATGGCATGCCAAACACGTTTGCATAAAATATTGTCTTGTCTTCTTCTTTTTCTTGGTTGCCGTACGATGTCAACGATGACTGACAAAGCTGTCCGCTTTGCACAAAATGTGTGGCTATCTCATCGCATTGCTAAAAGGCAGACACACACATACACATACACACATGTGTAGACACTAACACCCACAACAGCCGTGTCCACATCACTATCTGCCGCCAGTTAAATGGGCCCAGTGACACATTTTAAAGCCCACTCACTAAGCCCTGCCTACCCAACGGCCTGTGTTTGCGGGCTCATGAAGTCCAATGTTTTATCATTTACAATTTATATAGGATTCCTGTTTTTGTCATGCCCTAAAATCCTCTCTAAAGTCCGCCTGCAGTTAAATTTTTAATATTTGCTAATCTCTATTCTGGCTGCAATTTTAACACCTAGTTGTTTGTTTTTTATAAAAAGGATTACGCACCCAAATAAATGTACGCTTGCATTTATTTAGTCCATTTTGGCCGCCTGTTTTTGCTAATTTCGCTTCCAATTGATTGCCTTTTATTATTGGAAAACAACAAACTTATCATTCATTTGGATTTGTATTAAATGGAAATTGCCTTTATCTATGTATATAAATAGATTGGATAAGACTGATTCATCTAAATGGCTATTCCAAGCATTTAATTGATCAGTTTTTGTTCTCAAAATGATAGAATGCATGCATGGAATATTTTATATTTAATTTAGTTAATTAATTAAATTAAATTAATTAGTTAATTAAATTACTTTTTTGTGGGGTGGTACAGGGTATTTAAGAGTTGAGCCTGCTCGGCTTTAGCATTCCTTTCTTGTTATATATGATTATAGCATTTATTTTTAAAGCTGTTCATAAGAAATAACTATTGCGATTATTTAAAATTGGAACCAATTAGGTTATTATTAGGACATTGCTCATTGAGCATCAAACACGATGCAACAACTCGTGGGAATGAGCACAAAAATGAGCAAATGCGTCATTAGTTTTATCAATATCAATGCATTTTTTTCTTCATTAAGAAATCTCAACAAAATTTGGTATTTATAAAATGCCTCATAGCAAATCAAACAAAAATGTTAAGCACTTGAAGCATGTTGACAGCCTGCGACAATCTTTCAAGCTTGTGCCAAAACATTTGCTTTCAAAGCAGGTATGTACTATATATCGTTCGAAAGGGGTTGCTAATTCGATCGCTATCTTTGTTTACATGTTTGCATTACCATATACTCTTATGTAAATAAGGTGTGTCTACAAGTAGATAGGGATACACGTGGTTCGATAAAGCTCTTTGCGATGTCGTTCACACTCCAACTTTTTGCACCCGAACGGCGTTTCTCATTTAAGTATGTTACTTTGTTTGAACACATGAGATACAGACTCGTATATAGTACATAGATGCGGCTTTAAGAACATTTCATTTCGTTATCTTGTGTTACAAACTTTATCTAAAAGCCTACATTGTATCTGATTGCAATTTTTAAGAATAAAATAAAGTAAAAAGAATATATCCATTTAATTACTCATTATAAATAGCTACAGCGACGACTCGTGTGTTTGTCAATGTGTGTTTAATTACGCACTCATTATCACATTTATTTGGAAATTAGTGGTGCTGAGTGTAGTTAAGAATTTTTGCGCGCGCCCCAAGGGTCTAAAATGAAAGCCTGATTATCAAATGTATAGTTTTGGCGTCTCGTGTGCCTCATGACAACAAATTCGCATTGGACTCGACAATCGACGATAAAGACAATGTTAGTGATAATGAAAGTAGGGAAGCCGATTTTTTAGAGGGTGTGCACCGACCGGCATAGCTGAGAGTTCACACAAAGCACAACAAATGCTGACGCCCGCTTTTAATTTGCTCAGCATCCGAAATTCGTGGTTGTCTTCAGAGACAGAGAAGCTCTTGGTGGAGTAAAGAAAACAAACCATGCATTGCCTCCACTTCCTGTCCGGCTTATTCCATTGTTGTCCGCTTAGGCAATTGAAGTTCATTGGTCTTTGATACTCCTTGAATAGAATGCTTTTATTTATAAACAGAAAAATTATTTATCACGCTTCAGGCGGTATCTCAAAGAAACTCTATATAACATATAAAAATGTAAATGCATATGTATGCACGATAAGGTCTTTGATGGTGGAGTGTCAGTTTATATTTTGATTAGTCTGAGTACTTATACTTGTATAGTATATACAAGTTATATTTGTATTACTTGAGAAATTCGTTAAATTATACTTCATATTGTCTTTAATAGTATATGTATACTTATTGAAAATATAAAACCGATGGAAAATACAGACAATTTTCCACAATCCAATTTTATATGCAAAAAAGAAAACAAAGAATTTGTAAACCTTTGTCTGGTTGGCAATTTCTTCAATCAATCTCATATCAAATTTTCATTGCTAACGCCTTTCTACTATATAATTTAATTGGATCTCTTCGTATACTTAATATACTTACTTCTGATAAAGTCACTGTGCATTGTAATGTATTATTGCAAGTACAAGTATGTTATGATTTTTTGATATATTTTTATACACGTATATATATTATTTTGAAAGGATATGGCTGTGCTTTAAAGTGTTTCTGTCACTTTTTGTTTTTATTCAATCGTGGCTAACTTTGTAATATCACATCGAACAAAATCACACTCCTTTTGTAAAATATCAGTAAACGCATTTGAAAATAAATCAAAAAATTTTGTTCAAGAACTTTTTTGGGGAAAATGCTCATCTAGTTTAAAAAAGCTCAAGCCTTCTCAAATTCTTAAGTGCATAGAGATTTTTTATTCATGACGCGGAATATCACTGCCTGGGTATTACATACCTTCTTGCTATTTTCATATTACTCCTCTCAAGGACTAAAAGAAACAAAAGAACTAATTGAGCTTATTGAAAAAGACCCTGTTGGGAATAATGTGTCGCATTTCAATTTCTATAAACTAGTATATCGTTTTGACTTGCTGAGCTATTTAGATACATATGTATCTACTTGTCTTTATATGGGCAGCAAAATTAATATTGTTTTTTTCTTAGCTACAAACAAACACCTCTATCGCTGCCAAGCAGCCTGATTCCTGACGACGACGACGTCGCCATCGACTACGACACAACATCGACAGCGATGTCGCTGTCGCCCACTCTGGCTGGCTTCTGGTTTTGCTGCGGAAGCAGTTGATTCTATTCCTTTGAATTTGGTTTGTTTTGTTAAGTTTTATTTACACACTGAGTGATTCGCCTGTTGTTTGGTTGTCGGTATTGATGACACTCTGTTATTTTTCTTGAGAATAGAAAACTGCAAGTGCGACGAGTAGAACGCGTCTATAACTCGAGAGCTTTGGTCAGTGGCAACAGTGCGACGAGGTGATTGTGTCATGTTTGTTAGCTTCTCTCCAAATTCTAGTACCAAACAGTCCATCTTCGAAATCGGAAAATATGCAATTCTTTGCGTGAGTGTTGACAATCAATTTTTGAATCCCGCAACTGGTTTGGTTATAGTCGTGCCGGGTCAGTTAACCAGCAACCAATTTTAAAAGCCGCCATTCAACTGTTGTCTAGTCAACCGAAAACAAAACGTCAAAGTTGTTACAATGGGCAATTCGCCCAACCCCTCACCCAAATCCCGCCGCCTCTCCCAGCAACAGCCCAACCGTGGCTCAAACCCTACTTTTTTCTTTTTGTAATTTTGTTTGCCAGACTTAGTTCGATATGTAGAAAAGTCCATGCCGTCACCCCTCCCACCAGTTGGAGAGAAAAGTTTTCTATTTCAATGAAATGCAACAAACAATGGAGAGCTTAATTTTTTGCTAATTGACTGGACCTACGGATAGTAACAATTGTAAATGTCGTAAAAAGGTGAAATGGAAACATTTCGTGTGTGATTTCCCAAGCACTTTGGCACACTAATTGACTATTAAATAGCATCGGAAATCTTTTTTTTTCAGAAGCTGTAACAGTAAGAAAATTGTAACTGTGGCTTCTTGATGTTTCGGTAGCTACATTTAACTGCAAGGTATTGTACGAAGCTGCCCAGTACTTTTTTTACAAGCTCTCTAAGTTTCCTCCAACAACTTAACTTGCCTTGTGGAGCTACTTGGATGTGAGCTCCATAAAATCGGTATAATCAAGCAATTAGAAAATATACCCCACAAAGTTAGACAACGAGTGCGATTTAATTGAAACAATAAGGTGGAAAAATAAAATTGCCTCATTTTTATATCATCGATTTTGATAAAACTAGCTACAAAATATGAAAAACCCCACAAAATATGTATCTACACAAATACTAGATACACAGGTGAATTTTAGGAGATTTTTGTGTGTATTTCATAGGATTTGTTTGGGCGTATATTGATTTAAATATTATACATATATTGTTATACACGGGGTGCAAATGCGTTTTTTATTTAAAAGAGAATTTCGAAAAGAAAATAAATGTATTCATTTATTTGTGTTTAACATATGTATGGACGTAGATATTCATTAAGTAATCGAACTACATGCATACAAATGTACATATGTAAATACTACATATGTATATGTATGTATGTAAGCTTAAAATTACTCTATCTGGTTATGGATTTAATAAGCCCTAGATATTGGTGTTTTTAGCTGTTTGCATATAAAAACCATTATGCATTAGCTGGCAACTGAAAACTACTTAGTTACTGTTAACTGAGTGCTAACTTTATTTTTAACTTGTCCCATTTTCAATTGTTGTATTCCTTCAGCTTCTCCAAGATGTCCAAGTACACAGGCAAAAAATGTCGACTGCTCTCCATGATGTGGCTGACGGCGTTTTTCTTCTTTGTGGAAATTGTCGTCGGCTACGTGACGAATTCCATGGCACTGGTGGCCGACAGCTTTCACATGTTGGGCGATATAGCCGCCTTGGTGATATCGTTCTTATCGGTTAAGGTGAGTCTGATTGATGATTGACTGACTGATTGATTGTTTGAGTGTTATATTCTCACTTCTTCTCACTTTTTTATAGATGTCGCCAAAGAAATGGTCCAAGAACACTTTTGGGTGGGCGCGCGCCGAAGTCCTTGGAGCGTTGGTCAACGCCGTGTTCCTAGTGGCTCTCTGCTTCAGCATAACGATTGAGGCGTGTAAAAGGTGAGCCATGTAATTGGCAAATACTTAAAGTACACAAATAAACACGTATTTATTGAAATACGTAAATAAACACATACACACACACCTCACCATCACATAGAGGCGCACGTTTTACAGCTCGCCTTCTACTATACATTGTGTGCCTTTGTTTTTGTTGACGTTAACGTGATTTGTTGTTTAAATTTGTTGTTGCAGGTACTTTCATTTCTTTTTATTTGACTTTGTTTTATTGTGCTACGTTTTTATTTTTCGCCAACTGCTGTTTAATTTTACATTCTGTGTGCATTTTGTAGATATTTACGATTGCATATTTTATATTTCCTTCAGTTTTTTTGTTTACTTAATTTTTGCCCAATATATTATAACCGTTTATGTTTATTAAATATAATAATTGTACCCGCAACAGATTCATCGAAAAGGAACCAATACACGAGCCAAAGCTGCTGGTGATTGTAGGCGCCTTGGGCCTGCTGGTCAATGTGATAGGACTCTGCCTACTCTACGGTAAGCATACGTAATATCTAATTGAGTGCCGCTTGTTAGCTAGTTCATTATTGCGCATGATTTCAAAGGATAAGATGTGTTTGTTTCCTATTTAGTCCTTCGTCCGAACACAATAGTCCTGAATCAGAGAGCTTAAATAATTTAGAGTGAAATTATAGGTGAAGCACAGCTAGCAACGTTGGATCTATAGAGAGCTCTACATTTCTAAAATATAATAAGTATATACTCAGTCATATATTGATCATTTCATGGCTCATTAAGATTCTGAGTTAAGGATAGGTTACCGTTCGTTTAACACTATTAGGTAGGCCGCTATATCGGTATGTCTACTACATGTAGTCGTTATATACATACCTTAACAACCTTGATTTGAAAAAACGACCGATAGCCTTTTTGTTTGCCTACAGTGATATTAGTTTGGTAAACATAATTTTTATAAGTTTACAATAAACTTGTAGCTTATTAAATTAGTGTGATTAGCACAACTCTGGTATTTTTTGCTCATTGAAAGCAAATACAATTTATTTATAACTTTATTTCATCTATCAATACACACATCACTTGAAAACAGAGCATGGTGGTGCGCACGGCCACTCACATGGAGGCGGTTTGACGCGCAACCACAGTCGACTCACCGAGCTGGCAAACATGGATGATGTGGACGATGAGAACAATGACTATGCGTACGAGAAGCAGAAGGAGAAACAGGTGAAAAAGTCTAGCCATGGCCACAGTCACGATCCGGGACAGATGAATATGCGCGGTGTTTTCCTTCACGTGCTCAGCGATGCCCTTGGCAGTATTATTGTGGTCATCAGTGCAGTGGTATGTATATCGAGTCTATGACTCCCAATGGTTGTACTCGGGTCATTTACTCAATTAATTTACTGACAGGTGGTGTGGAAGACCGAATGGGAGTATCGCTTCTATATGGATCCAGCTTTGTCCATTGTCTTAGTCGCCCTCATTCTACACTCAGTTTGGCCCTTGCTGCGAGAATCCGCGCTGATTTTGCTGCAAACTGTGCCCACACACATTCAGGTTAGTGCAGGTGGGCTTGAAGGTAACCAAAAGTTTTACTAACGCTGCCATTGACAGGTGGATGCCATTCAAAAACGCCTGCTGGAGAAGGTTGATGGCGTACTCGCCGTTCACGAATTCCACGTGTGGCAGTTGGCCGGAGACCGCATCATAGCCTCAGCGCACATTCGGTAAGTGGATCTAAATACTGCATTGCATCAACATTGTAAAGGTTTTTATTTTGTATTTCAACTAAAAAGATATGGTCCGTTTCATAGGTTAAAAATAAAAGCATTATAAATAATGGATTTTTGATTTCCATGGGTGTCGGTTGCAGCTCTATGCTATTAACACGAACTATTTCCTTCGCAGAATTCTTTTCCTGAAACCTGTGAAACATTTTAATGATAAACATTCAGTTTTTTGCAAAAATAAAAGTCATCGGCTTGGGGCACCATTTTTGTCATTAATAATAAATTCTCGACCGTTGTAAAACCAATTTCACTGATTTTAATCAATCAATTATTTTATTGGTGATAAAATAAATTGCACACGAAAAAATTGAAAATAAATAACATATAATTCTTACATAATTAGACCATAAAGTCATAAAGCCATTCCTAATTAAACGTAATTTCTTTTTACAGCTGCCGCAATTTGTCAGAGTATATGAAAATAGCGGAAAAGGTCAAGGAATTCTTTCACAATGAGGGCATCCACTCCACCACCATTCAGCCGGAGTTTAGTGAGATCGAGGGTTGCAACATGTCCGATGGAACATCCAGTATTAACATGAGCGGCTCCGATTGCTGTGCCCTCGACTGTCCCACCACGGAAGAGGGCTGCGTGAAGGCCACTTGTTGCCAAAATAACAACAAAATAGTAAGCTATAAACGTAAAATGAATAAAGAAACATTCTATATTGCATCACTTACAGAATCAACTGCCGTCGCCCACGAATTCACCCTATTTGTGCCGTCAGCGGAGTGCGGCGCGTCAAGCGGGCGATCTGGAAGCAGGCTCGCTGCTGGAGGGAAACAATAGAGTGAGCATTGTATCCGCATCAGCCACAACGGATGCGAGCACAACCCAACAGCCAAATGGTGAAATAGTCTGACAACTTCAAAGCCAAACAACAGCAACAAAGCAGGCCACACAGCAAGTTCACTTTGCCACAACAACAACAGCAATAAATGAAGCTGGAGCCACGCCCATAACACCAGCAACGACACGTGATATAATGTATGAGCCTGGCACAACAACACAAATACCAATCACAACTGTAACCACAGCCACAACCAATAACCAAGATGCTTCCAACGCCACGGGCAGCATAAGTCTAAACCTCTCCTCCGTAACCGCCCAGCGACGACGTGAGTTGCAAATGCGGGCCGAGCAGCAAGTGACGCTCAAAGCTGGCGCCTGCACACGCAATGGCGATGAGGTGGCACTCTAAGTAAAAAACTCTTAAAGTAAAAAACAAAAAAAAAAAAAACCAAACAAACTTAACATTTTATTAGCTACCTAAGTTTTTTGTACCATGTTTGTTGGTATAATTGTTGCAACTGCGCAATGGACTGACTGGTCTGCCAATGTGCAGTGATCGGATAGGATTTTTAATTTGTTCGTAGTAGAATTTATACCTTTAGTACATGAAATGAAAGAGTATGTGTGCATGTATAGCATAATGTTGTTTTATGCGTGGGTCAGCGCATAGAATTGAACGTGTTGTTGCTGTTGAGTTGACTTTTGGAATACCTAGGGAAAGCGGGCGAGCGTCACACATCTAGCGATACTGCTACAGATGATGCTCGAGCCGAGTTTAGTTTAGTGTACCCCACCAGCCCCAACTTCATTAGGAGCTCACCGCGCGTCGTTTTGCGTGCGTAGTTTAATTCAAATCGAACACACAATTAGTGAGTAAAATAGTTTGGAATGAAAGTAAGGTTGTCATCTCATTAATCATGTTCAATCTTTTGTATTCATGTTCAATCATTTAATAATCTGACCATCGACTAAATATCTATCAATATCCTAAAAAAAGTACGGTATATATAGTGGAGCGGGGTCACATTCAAGTTGTAAGTTGCTACTAAAACGTTTGTAGTTAATTGTATTTTTAAGTCAAAAATGAGCCCAACAAGCACACATACATACAGATGTATGTATGTGTCTATGTACGTTTTTTACATTTTGAAAAGTTTATACGTGAGAAAATTGTATTTAGTAGTTGCCTATAGCTATACATATATATATATATATATTTACGAATAGTTAATAACTAAAGAAGTGTTGCAAAAGAAACATATGCAAATTAAATGCTAAACAAATTATATAAATACTTAGTCTATAATGGATAGTACACACACACACACATGTAATGTTGCTAACTGTAAAAAGTTGTTTTACTTTACTGGCGCAGATATGTAGGATGAAAGTGTATTTTTGATTTAGCTCTAGTATTTTAAGCGAGACAATTGGAAAGTCAACTTGATAAATATTATGAATATAGTAGTTACCTAACTGCAAACATTATGTAATATTCCGATTCTTTCCTGTGTATGTGTTTGTAAATATACCTCAAACATAATCATAAACATTAAATTAATTATTAAAATCAAAACCAACAGAGTTTAATTTTATCAAAGGGAAGATGGGCTTTCGGCTTGTTCAAACATAACTCATTTATTACAAAATTGTTGGAAGTACAGAATAAACAATTTTTTCTAAACAAGTATAAATATCCTTCACGTAATTATGTAAATGAATTCGAACACCTGAGAAACTTTAACAATCATTTAAGAATATATGTACAAAGTAGTATGGATTAGGAACAAATTTCAATGGAATGCTTTTCCTAGAAATACATGTTCTGCAAATGGGTTATGCTCAGCGTAAAATACGATGAGAATTACCAGCATTTAATGAAAACAAATTTTTTGATAATTGATAGCTCTAACCAATGCTAGAAATTTAGCTGTTCTTCATCTCATCATCGACGTCGCCTCCCTGCTGCTGTGAGAGGCGAAGCTGATGCTATAAGTTCTCATCGAGATTTTTATCGGTGTTCTCCTCCACAATGGCCTCATCCCAGGGACCGTGGATGTTAAACTTGTGTCTTTGAAGTCGTACAAAGATTAGCGGGCAAATAAAGTTAATGAAGATAGTTGTGCACGCATAAAGACAGAGCACTGGATGGGAAATCCAATATAGCGCCGAGCAACAAATGCAGAAGATTGGGATCATGTAGAACTCATGCCAAGTGGCTGATGTCATGATGGGATATAAAACGAAAAATATTGCTGCCTCGACAAGGAGCACAAATGCGTGGTAGGATGTTGAAAGCCGTGATGCCAAACAAATGGCGCCGAATATGGCTGCATTCAAAGAGATCGCTGGAGAAACCATGGCAACATCCAGACCATAATCGGAGAACATCAAGTTGCCAAGGAGCACGAAAAATGTCATTGTGTAGATTGTATCCGTGCTGATGGCCTGAGTCAGTGTGTGTAGCATGGGCGAGAATATGAAGCCAAACAAAAGTACTGTGACCAGCGTCTTGGAATCCTCTGCCAGGAGCGCCATGCTCAGACTTTTGCCGCGGTACCAAAGATATCCAAACGCTGTGATCACACCGGTGGGCACAAATATAGTGGTTGGTGACACGGAGTCGTTCAGCATCAGGTAGTAGATTATAAGAAAGCCGGTTATGCATGAGATCTGATTGTTGAGCACTGTAATGCCCACAGCGGCCACACGATACGTATAGAGCCGTACATGCAAATTTGTACGCAAGTCCTTCAGAAAACTGGCATCCGTGTAGTTATCAGGGTATTCTCTGTTGGAGTATAGGTTCTTTACCCAAGGCTTGAGCTTTGGATTCACTGATTTTGCCATTTTTTTTGAAGCGCAGTAAGAAAGTGAGTGATTTTGTTTACATTTTTCGCACAGCTGCATTGTACGGCGTTGCCATTGTTTTGTAAGCTGATTTTGCAGATGCTGCCAGAAAGCCACTAACTGCACCAGAAACCGGCAGTTTTTAAAAATTTCCTCAGGAGTTGACCGTTTAAGGCTACTGGAATGGCGCCTGTCCCCGAAATAGAACACACGTCCCTAGGCTCACGTGTTGAAAGCCAACTTATTCATTGTTCTGTAGTAAGTCCAAATACATATAGTTTGCTTAAAAATATACAGTTAATATTTTTTTTTTGTGTAAATGCTAAATTGTTATATGTACGATATGTTTTATTTTAATTAATTTCTTTAGGTAAATTACTATGATAAGCTAATTCCCTTTCCATTTTTATATAGCGCCCATAATAAACAGAATATTTTCTGTCCTTTCAAAGTACTGGAATATTCTTTTTCGTTCTTTCCGATCGGATACCAATGGCGTCAATAATTTTCCCACATTAATAAAAAGGCAATATGTTTTCGATTCACTTCAAAGACATTAAACAATTGTTTATAAATGAGAACACTGCACTGTAATTGGCCAACTCCTTCAAAACGTATGCGTACGTTCTTTTAAATATACGATTAATTTGTAATAATTATTTAATATATATTTTGTATTTAAATAGAAAATGCTGGCTTTATTTTGGTTAAAAATGTATATATTTCGATTTTGCTTATGAGTTAGTAAATATTTATAATAGTTGCCAAGGCCACGTTAAAGGCTACGTTGATATTAAATTAAGAAGGCAAAAGGGCCTTTTGGCTAGTATGCTAGTTTATGGTTCCAGTTAGCTAAAATCATTAAACAGATTAGTTTACAAACACTTAAGAAGTTAGCTATATTCGTACGATAGATTGGATAAATCCACATTCCAAAACATTAAAAACTTCATTAAAATTGTGAGTCTATCAATTGGTTACACATTAAAAAGGGCACTAAGAAAGGCCACTGTCAACAACAATAATAAAATATTACTATAAATTAGAAAGAAACAACGATGTGGGCGGATTTTTTAAGACCAACCACCCGTCAGCTTGTGAAACAGCTCCTCGTTCAATGTCTGATTGGTATCCTTTGAACGCATCGACATGAATATATAGCCGCCAATAAACTCATGGACAACCTTGCAATCGGCCGAGAGGCAAGAAAAAACGACATTTTCATTATGAAACTGGATCATCATGCACTTAATTCCCCAATTAACGTTCCAAGCCTTCATGGTGTTATAGCGCCAAGTCTTGATGTGGTCGCCAGTGCCCAGGTCCATGCGCATAATGCGATTGTGGGCTACTCCCAGAAGCTCCTCTTTTTTATGTCCATCAAATTTAATGACAAAGAGTGTGACGCCAAAATCGGGCAGAGATTGCCAAGCCTGAATGTACTTGAGCTTCGCCTCAAGTAATGACAGATCACGCACATTGGAGTGGGTCTCCAGAATACGTGTCACTGCCTTGCCGGATAACTTGCGCAGCATTTTCGGGGACAAGTAGTCATTAGCGTCCACAGAACGCGGATCGATGTTGACATGAATGCCATGGACGGGTCTCTGCATTTGCATCAGCGAACGAATGCTCTCCACCTCATTTTCATACGAACTATCAGCCAGAGAACGACCCTTGGATGCCAATCGGCAGGCGGCCATCCACTTAGCATACTGTGCCTCATTCTCACATCGTACCCAGACCTCGGTATTTGGACCATTGCGACCTTCTGGCGCAACTTCGAGGCGGATGCCAAACTTGCCCTGCGTGAAGTTAATATCGGGAGTAACCTCGCAGCCACGCAAGTTGATGCTTATGGTTGGCGCAGTACGTCTTGAATCCTCTTGTGTCTTATACAGATGCAGGTGCAGGTCCCGATAGGTGAAGAAGTAGCGTTTGTAGCCTTTCAGCGTGAAGCGCTGCGACTTAAGGAAACGCAAGTAGTCCGAGAGTTCAGGTATGTGCGTAATATTTCCAGCGTCCCCATTCGGCCCTTCCATTGTGATCTGCAGCTCATTGAGTGCTGACGCAATTTCGTCATCATCGTTCTCCTGACTCGATGTCTCAATACCAGTGTGGAGATTGGTATTACTTGATGGCTGTGTTTCTACCTGATGGTTGACCTGAAACTGTAGGGCGGCAAACATTAGCGTTTCTTCCTCGGTGCAGTCCAGCTCCTCATTCAATATGGCCCACTTCGCCTGCTCGTATAGCTGATTGATCCGCACCTGATCATATTTGGGATTTAGGTCGAAGAACGTGAAATATTTGAAACGCAGGCACAACGTATCGTATTCCCGAATGCCCTGCTCCATAATGGACAGCGATGAGTCCAGCCAGCCGACATTTAGGCGCGCCTTCTCCACCAGCGATTTGGGACGCAGCAAACGCGAGCGCACATCCGCACTAGGCGACTGCGGGGAGGTGGACAAATTTTCTTGAAAATCACCTAAGCTTGATGAAGACTCGAAAGTGCCAAAACCATTGTTGCTGTGCTTCCAGGTGCTGGGTGTGGGCGATCCAATAGGCGTATTCGGTGCTGGAGTGCGCCTTGATGGCGCATTATGCGGCGAGATGGGCGCACAAAATAGATTGCCATGCGGCGAAGGCTTGTCCAAGCTACCATCGCTGCCGCCATTATATGCCGAGTGAATCGGCACAAACGAATTTGTATCCAGTGCTGGCTGCAAGAACGACGTACCATCCGGCTCGGCAATGGGAACCCGCTTCTTTTGCGGCAACTGCGAAAAGTTCTTCTTCAGATGTTCCGCTTCTAGTGGCTTACACAACGATAGCTCCTCCGGATAGCGAATGTCCAGATGCTTGCAGAGATTAACAACCGCTGAAAACGTTTTGATCGAGTAATCAACACGGCAGTCAAGGTATCGTAAATCCGGCAACTGCACTCGCAGCGTCTTATGCATGGGTGTGAAGTGCAAGAGGCAGTCGGCCTGGACGCCGCATTGATCAAGCGTGGCACGAGTGCGTGCCAGCCAGACATTCTTCGCCGGCCACCACAACGCATGGTCAGACCAATCCTTGGGATTCTCCGGGTCCACAAGCTGAAGCATTACGCCACCAATGTGCTGATCCCCTCGTACCCGCAGCGTCTTCTCCAACGACAGGTCGGTGATGAAGATGCGCAGGTTCCATGAGTTTTCGCCAACGTGAATCATTGCGACTGCGACTATTTTCGGTGCCGACGTCACTACGTGCCCTTAATTTACTGTACGCGAGCAACGTCCTTGTGGGGGCGCCTACAAACAAACGTAAACGTCCGCCTACAAATTCAGAGTGGCACAGATGTTCAATAAATCTGCATTCTGACACAAATGACGTAATCTCTGGTACCCAATTGGATGCGGGCGCGTTGCATATGCTGTAACACTTCCGGATACGAGCAGTTGCACAGATTGAAGCTGTCGAAATTTCACTCAATAAATGGAGCAATTAAAGAAAACCATTGAAAAATGTAGTAGAAAGCGCCTTCACCTCGATTATGTGACCGTATCTCAAAACAGCAAACTACCGCAAAGTATTAAAATACTGCTGTGGAATTTGAAAGAAAAATACCAATTGCCGTTATGCAGCCGTTGTCATGGCAAACAGCTCACTAAACAAAGTCGAAACAACTCAAGAATAGAAGAAGACGGTGTTTTTGGAAAACAAACAATAAACAAACAACAGTGAACGTAACCACAGCAGCAGTGAGATATTTTTCAGTTATATTTCAACAACAGCGTGTGCCGGCAAATCAGTTTACACATATGAATACTAAAAAGTAGAAATATTATAACTCAAGTGAAAACGAAAGGGCGATTTGTAGGCCAAACGAGCGCGTGTCGCAATCCTGTAATCTTTAGATGGTATCGCCGCGCAAGCCGGCTACAACCGTTAGTCCTGTTCCTGTTTCCAAATCGATGGCGTAAGTAACCAAGTAATTTATACCGACCCTTATCAACAACACCCTTCAACGGTAGTACATCTGCCAAGAGTTGCGAGAGCCTCTTCTCGGCCTGCAGTTCACGTGAGTCGGCATGCTTGATCTATCAACGTAAGCAGCCCCAGGTTCGTGGTGGCTGCATGAAACCATCAAATGGCAGTGGTGGACATGGACCTGTTCGCCAGCCGTCCATAATTCCGAACTCTAGCGATATACATCAGCGTGTAATGTCGGCTCGAAATTTGCGCATCAAGACCTTTCAGAATCAGTTAGCCAACGCTCAAGCCGAAATCGCCAATCTGGCCCATGAGAATCGCATGCTGCGCACTCTCCACAAGCGTCAGTCATCAGCACTGTCTAAGTACGAGTCTACCAATGCAGAGCTTCCTCAACTGCTACACTCCCATGCCGAGGAGTTGCGCGTCTGGCAAACAAAGTATCGCAATCTGCAGGCACTTAACAAGGAACTGGAGGCGAAAATCAAACAAAAGGAAGCACTCATATTATCCCTTAGCGACCAGAATAAGCATTATAGTCAGCTAAACAAGGATAGGTAAGAATGAATGAACTTGTTCAATGAAAAGTTACAACCATACATGTGTTTCGACCATCTATACAGAAATCTTGACGAGCGACAGCGGCTGCAGGAAAAGTTGCGAAATCTAGAACAACGTTTGATTGATAAGGACAATGACATGAAACTGATGGCGCGTAAAGTGCAGCTGGAGTCGAAGAACTTCCGTCAACAATTGCTCAACGAGCAAAAGAAGTCCAAAGAGGTCATGTTGAAGCTAGAGAAGGCTAGACTAGAAATTTCTGGTTACCGGAAGTTGGAAGAGTTTACGGTATACAATTATTAGTTCTTCCCTTAAATCTCATATACATATATCACTTAAATTATCTGCAGCTCGGTGGCGAAAAGAGCAATCCATTGTCCTCGGGACGTCGCACGAAACTGAATGTGGTTGAGGAGCCGGAAAAAATTGAAAAACTGGAGAAATCTCTGGAAACTCTAGAAGAAGCCATTGAGAAAAACAATCAAAGCGAATTTAATGCCCTCACTGATGTTTTGGAAACAGATTCATTATTTGATTTTGAGAAGGAAGAGAAGGCAGAGGAAGAAAGCGCACCATCTTCACCGCATAAGAGTGTTGCAAAGAACAACAATAATGCCGGCACAAAAAATAACACTACAGGTCAGGACACAAAAATTGGGCGCGGGGGAAACAGCTTATCCAAGCTGTTGTTGCCACCAGCCACCGTACAACCGAAGCAATCACATCAGCCCACAACGCGGTCATCATTGAGCCAAGCGTTGTCGAATAAGGCCTCCAGTGTTAAAGCCACCACCTCCATACCACGATTGCGCAGCGGTGGCACCAAAAATAGCACAATTCCGGGCAGTAGTAGCGCACTTAGCAGCTTGGCTAGCAAGCGTCGCGAACCGGATGCTATATCGAGGATCTCTGCACCCGAACCAAAGAGCAAACAGAACGCCTTGAAGTCGTTGGAGATGAACGCTGCTTTGGGCGATGATTACGACTTTGATGATGATTTTGAGCGTGGAGCTGGAGGCGATGACAGTTTCGGTCTAATAGCTGAGATGTGCGCAGATGATGATTGCGACGACAATGAAGAGAATGCTAACGAGGCTAGTCTTCTTAGCTATGCTGGCTATATGGAACAGAAAAGCACTAATGGCGATCTCGATGACATGCTCGATGACGATGAGGATGAAGACGAGGGGCGTAACCCCAGAGAGTCAGTGGTAAGCAAAAATCTCAGAACAACAATTCCGTAATCAAATTTTGTTCCTCACTTTCATTTATATTTCAGATAACTAAAGGATTCGTGCGTACGGCCAGCATGAAGGAGGACATCTCGAGTATACACAAACAAATTTCGGACGACTACAAGGAACGCGAGAGTTTTCTTAACACTTTCTGCCGCCAGGCATCGAGCAGCAATATGCGCGAGGATCCGGCGCTAAAAAAACGCAACAGTATTGCCACAGGAGCCACCAGTCACATGGCCGGCAGTCGAAAGAATGCCTTGTTAGCTGCACTTAAAGCCATTGATGACAACAAGAGCCAGGACTAGTCTCTGGACAACCATAAACACAACACAGACACACACAAATTTACACACTTCTAGTTCGAATGTCAATTAAGATTTCTAACACACTGTTACTTATATTTTTCTAATGGGTTGCAATGCAAAAATAAACTTTTTGTACGCCACATTCGGGCATGAGCGGTAATTTGTAGTCGACCCTGCCGCTGAACGTCTCTGCGACAGAGTCGGCGACATTGGCCGCGCATGCTCAAATGTGGGCCCGATATGAAAAAGTGTAGCAATTGTTTATTCTAGTCCTCGCCACCGGGAATTTCCTTATGACTTATTATGTAATTAAGTTGTTGAGCTGTCATTTTTGAGGAATGTTTTTGTTTGGTCCTGACTATTGAACAGAATCGGACCTGAGCTATCCACACACATATTTTAATAGTATGTTCTCACACCAAAAAAAACTTTTGTTTCTAAATACATATATTTTGTATGCCAATCAGGATTAAGGGAAATAAGATAAAATGGCCTGAATTAAAGATGTTCGCCTATTTAACAACTGATTGAGAGGACTTTACAAGTATTTTGCCCAAATTTTGGTTTTAGTCATCTGTAGACAAATCAGCATCAACCTTAAATTACTTAAAGAAATTTAATCAATTTTCTCAATATTTGATATGTGTGTATATATTTAGTACCGTTCAATACAAGCTGTTTAATCATGATCAGTTCTACAGTTCTGAAAATCAGTTTTAGAAATCCTTTTGGGAAAAACTTTATGACTGCAGCAACCCACTATGAACAATACGAACGTATTAATAATTCTTTTCATACGCCTTCAGAGATGGCTAATCAGAAAATCTCAATCATCTCTTAAGAAAATGTTATCAATTTGAGAGCATAATTTACAAAGCGTCAACAAATTTATTGAACGTTCTATTTTATAGTACAAATTACATGCAATTATAAAATATTATGCATTGTTGTTCTTGTTTCTCATCTTACTCATGGCGCGCGATACTTTTTTGCGAAGTTCTTTCTGACGCTTTAACTTTGATGCCTCCTCGGCACGCTTCTTGGCGTGGAACTGCTTTAATCGCTGTTTCGTCTCATTGCGCTCCCGATTGCGTTTGTCTCTATAGTTTGTTGTTATCATCTTCATCATCTTGGAGACTTTCTGTTCGTATGGTGAGTTCACAACGGCCACACGTTTCTCGGTCTGCTGCGGATCTAGAGGACCGAGTTTTGGTTTGTGTTTGTAGGGCAGAGCTCGTTGCAGTGCCTTTGGTATCACCAATGGCCGGAATATCTTGGGTTTGCGCACAATATCCGTGTACATGCTGTCTAGCTGGGCTTCGTTCTTTATCGCACGCTCCCGTTTTAGTTGACCTAGGGTCTTCATGCCTTGCCATTCGGTTTTCTGTTCTGGTGCCAGCAGCAATGTCGTTACAGGGGCATAGAACCGCGGCACATCTACTCGGAACCAAGTGCGGCAGAAAACAATGTCACTGAGCAAAATCTTATCCTCAAACGTAGCGCGAAAGGATCCCTCGGGCGTATGATGGGCTTTCTTGATCTGCCCACGTATACCGGACACTGTCTTTATCTTAGCTCCCTCGAACTTGGCGACCTCTAGTGAGGTATTAAACATGTTTTTGATAAAGGCCGTCTTTTTGTAGATTTTAAAGGGATGACCGACGAGCTTGAGTTTCTTCATAATTTGCGAAGATTTGTCCAACTCAGTAACACAACCAGTCGCCGCGATCCGAAAGCCCAATCGCTTCATCTCTTCCTGATCTTGTCGTACTGTTTGCAGTGCTATGAAACCGGTATTCTGTGGTGTTATTGGTCCCCAGAAGGTCATGCTGCAGGTGACATGATTTGGCGTGTATTTAAGGTAGCGATGTCGAAAGTTATCTTCCACCTTGGCATATATGGGAACAGTCTGAAAGCGTCGCCAACCCATTGAGATGATCAGAGGGTCGCCAGTCTTAAGAATTTTCTTATACCAGCGATGTTTCTTCACCTTGCAGTTCACAAAACCAACATTCTCCTCAGTCATGTTGAGGGCACCCACCAACACGGGATAGCTAGCATCAAAATGCTCCACAAACTCGGCTGGGAGAGTTTTGAAGCCAAGACGCACATAAAGACCGGCTCGGTAGCCTTCGATTTGTATGCGAAGTTCGTTATCCAGATGAGCGAATTCATTCTTGTTCAGTTCACTCTGTTTTTGGGCTTCCGCCTTGAGCTCTTCATAGTAGGAGTGGTCGCCGGTGATGCGCCCACTATCCTCTCCACCTTTTTCACCATTATTGTCGTATTCGGCGTCGAATTTGGCTTTCAGTTTGAGTTTCTTGGCCATTAGCTCGGCCTTGGTAAGATTTTCCTCCTCGACTCGCGTCATTTTACGTTTTGTCGCTTCACCACCAGCGCTAACTGAAGTTTCTCCATTGTTGCTGTCACCATCAGTTGGCTGAGTATCTTTTGGCTTTCCGTTGTGCTGCTCACCCGTCTCCAGATCTTCAAAGTCGCCATACACCTCGCTATCAGCATCGCTCATGTCATCCAGTTTAAGCAAATTTTCAGCGTCCTCAGAGGCCTTCCACTTGCCCGTGACAAAGCAGTTCTTGATTAACTCCTTGTTCCCATCTGCCAGCCAGTCGCGTAAGGCATCTATACAATAATAAAATAGGCATTATTAAATGATGATTGGAGGCTTGGTTTGACAAATATAAATTATATTAAAATACAAAATTTATGGTTTGGGGCACACAACATCAATTTATTTTCTCAATTAATCATTTCGAATAAAACATATTGTTAAATAACTCATTTTTACTCGTCCAAAGTGTCTAAACTTGACTTTGCGCCTGCATTTTGTCCGTTAGGTCCGCATGGAAAATTGAGGCCCTCCTGCGACTCTCGTTTAGGCGTTTCACGTTTATGCTGAGTGGAGAAGCTGATGTTGATGCGTCCACTGCCCCGCACTGTTGCCATTGGTCCTCCTGAACGCAAGATTGGAGTTGCCAGACGAGTAGGCTGGCTCGGTTGGGAAGTGGTATTGGAGTTATTGCTATCGCTGGAACGACTGTTGGGGCTAGTTCGTGACTCGGATTTAGGCTGGCGGGCCTGGGCTTCCTTACGCACACCCACCATGAGAGTCTCCGCACAGGCGTTCTGTTGAAACTGCTTGACGCGGTCTCTCATGGCCGTCTCCCGCTTCAGTTCCTTCTCGATCTCGGCGCGACGTTTAATTGCATAACGCTCTTCGGCCATTTGATCGCGCTGCTTATTTCGTTCCACAATTAAATCAGCTATTTCCAGACGTTTTTTCATTAGTTCTTCTTTGTCCAACTTTTGGAATAGTTCCGGCCATATGCCCTTTGTCTTCTTAATCAGGACAATGCGTGCCTCGTTTTTGAAAATGCGACAAAAGCTAGCCATTTCATCAATTTCCTGGGTCAAATGGCGCTCAAAATAGATAGGTGGATTATTATATTTAAGATACTGTGGCAAAAGAACGATGTCCGGCTTGCGGGTAGCAACTAGACGATTCAATTCAATTGAGATTTTAATGTCCTCCTCGGTCTGTGTTATCTGAACCATGATGAATTGTCGAATGATATCCGTTCGTTGCTGTGTCGCACAGTTTTAGTTTGTTAGTGCGTTTTAGAAGTCTAACAATGTTGGCTGAGCTTATTCCTAGTTTGATTATGATTACAAAGTTTATTCACTTTGAATATTTGTTTGTTTTGATTTGAATATTTGCCGGCTGTCGAATTATTAGTTTGCGTTGCTTAGCTTATTGATCAAACAATGATTGGCGTCCATTGGACTTCTTCAGTTCTGTCGTTGGCACACGCGAAACTTTTAAACAGTTGCTACAAACCTAAACTGCTATCCTTTGCAATTTTGTGGATTTACATTTCCAATAAGTCTGGTTGTCATGTCCTATTCTTAGCCAACGTGTTGTGAATAGAAACACACACACACACAAAAAAAAAAAACGAAAACACCGCACAGTTGGTTTTCTATTTGCAAAGCGCATCCATGGGAATAGATATAACACTATTGCTATCACGTGCCATTTGTAATTCAATGACATTTCAGTCTGACGCAAAATGAATTTCATTTAAATGATTCCTTATTAACTTTTACCATGTATTTGGGGTGTTCAAATAGATGGGGGTGTTAACGATATAAATCAGATATTCTTCTTTGTATTTATAGTTTATAATAAGGTCTGCCAATAAATCTTACACAATTGTAATTATAGGCTACAGATTTTGGAGTCAAAATCGTCAAAATTTAATCACTCACCTCCATGATAATCAAAGAAACAGCTCTCATCTTTATCACGTATATCCCGTTCCTTTTGCAAATCAGTTTGCTTCTTGGTCGCTACTTTAAACAGTCCTCCCAGCTCTTCCTCGGAATCACTGTTGTTCTTATCCTGCTGCTCTTCTGGCTGTTTGTTGCGTTCGCTTTGGTTATAAGCCCCATAGACCAAACGCATTAAATTTCGCGATTCGGAGTGCCTTTGAAGGAAGGCATCACGTGCCTTTTGCGCCAGGTTAGTTTTCCAGCTCATGTTACTGGCTAGGATTTGTGCTTCATTTGCCTCATCGTCATCGCCGTTGTCAGAGTTTTCATCGCTGCTTTGGGTACCGCTCTTAATATTAGCTAAACTCTGATATTCTTCATCTCCCGATGTTTCACCCTCATCCTCATCCGATTCTCGATCGCTGTTTTCATTGCGCCAATCATCGGCATCAAATTCATCGCCCTCTTCGTCGCTGGATTCGGCAGCATCAAGTCCAGAATCATTTCCATCATCCTCATCCTCACTATTTTCTGCCTCATCGTCGCTTTTAAAGTCCTTTGATTTAATGGGCGCACCATCGGAGAAGAGTCGAAACTCTTGTTGCTCCATTTGCTCATCGATGGTAGCCTTTTTATCTATCAATTTATTCACCAATTCCTCCTGTTCCGTTGCATCGGCGCTTTTCTCTTTATGGGAATGAGAGCCCTGCAGTTCAATATAAACGGCATCCTTGTCGTAGACAATGCCACCTACACCGGACATGGGTGCATATAGCAGACGCTCCTTTTCAAGCAGGCTGCGTTTCTTCTCAGTCCCCGGAAGAGGGCAAGGATCGGATATGACACTCAACTCGTCGATGCGTGCATCGCCGAGCCCCGCTATGTGCACCATGTGCTCTTGTTTAAGAGGAACTCCTCGCACATAACCGTAAAGCACCACTTCCCGATCGCATTTGGGATTGCGACGCACTGTATCTGTGTTTGTTACGTCCTCCATACGATCGACCAAAATGTAACTGTGGGCGCCACGCCACTGCAACGGTCTAAACTTCATGACCGATATAAATCGTCCCAGGTTCTTAATCTCGTTGCGCAAATACTCGCCATGCAACAATCCGGATAAATAAAATAGTTTGGCGCCGTCATAAACCTCTGTCCAGAAACGATGCTTCAGTTCCTTTTTCCGTTTGCGTAGTTGCTTGGGATTCTTAATCATGTCCAGATGGGTTAACACGCCCATAATTTTTGGCATGCCGTGCACCTGGCATATGTTCAAGAACTCAAAGATCTCCATCTCGAAACCGTAGCTTGCATCACAGAGCAACAAAACCAAATCTGCGCACTTGGCCACATCGATCATGGAGTTAATGTCATTGTTGCACTCCAGCAAGGTGATACGGCGCTTTTTCGATGTGACTATGGTGATGGGACCACGTATATCAGTAACATTGGTGCGCGTGAAGCTCTTGATCAGATTCTTAATCAGTGTTGTTTTGCCCACTTTCGGCGGACCCACAATGGCAATCAGTACTGGCGGAGGCTCATCTGGTGTCTGGTCCACTACTGGTATGTGCTGTTTCTTGGCGGTCAGGTCCTCCTTACGCCGAAAATTACGCTCGGCGCGCTGCGCAGAGTTAATAGCAAATGCCTTAGGATTGCGTTGGCGCGCTGTTAGCTCTGGATCCTTTTGATTGCTTTCCTTTTTGGCCTTTATCTTTTTCTTTTCCGCTTTGACTCCCGATTGGCGAGCACGGTGTTGCTTTCGCTTATCCTGGCCCGCATCTTCCTCCATTGCATGTAGTGCTCTAGGAAACTATTTTTATTAGAACTTTCGCCGTGTTTACGAGTTGCACGTGTAGCGAGTGGCACTTGCTGATTAAGTATCGATGCTTTTACGGCAGCACAGTGCTCCCAGACTATTCTCAGTTGTTAGGATTTTCGTTTTTTGTGGTTACTGTCACACTGCTGCACTACGCTGGAAGTAAATTTTTTCACTCTGTTCACATTTTTTATGTCAAAATCGTTGCAAAATGTGTCGTTCTCGCAATTTCAAACTATAGAAAAGGACACTAACTTGCGCCGCTAATAATTTTACATGCGCGCACACACCCCATCCTCAGTTTTGACATAAAAACAAAGACATTTGGTCGCTGAAAAAAGGCTGCGTACCATTGGCGTGAAGACGGCGCGTAGTAACAAGTCTTGGATTGGTAAAAAAAAAAACGAAGTCGTCTATAGAAAGGCAAGTGATTGGTAATAAAACTGTATAGCATGCGAAATGGATAAATTTTCATTAAGTGCAGCATGTGTGCACATTTTAAAAACACATTTTCAGTAATTTTGCCAGCATTTTAAGTACAATTTTGTGACTTGTAAAAAGTCGGCGTGCTTCTCTACCTCCTTTGCATACGTACATTCATACATATGTATATGTACATATGTGCATTTGTCGGCAACGGCGCCTATTTGGGGGTGGTAGACGCAGCCAATGCCATTTATGGAGCAACATACTGCAAGGCCCCTTCAAATTGTCTAATTCAATGCCACACAATGCTGCACAAAAAGCTGCAAGTACTTGGCCGACCTTGTGCCCCAATCGATTTCATAAAAGAGAAGACCGAAAAATCTCAGAATAACCACAGTGATTTGATTATGCACAAGTGAAGGTTAAACTTCTCGATGGCTATGGCCAAAATGAGTGAAAGCAGGGCCAATAAGCATCCGATGCCACCATCGGCCGACAGTTCTTTGTTTGTCAGCAACAATAAAAATGTGTATGTAAGAAATAAAGAACGCGATGACGTCTACGACAGCGATGCATACATTATTTCTTGTAATTGCATGTGCTTAATGTTTTTTATTGAAAAAGAACGAATCGACACCAAAAGGCGAATCAAATTGACGTCACCATGACAAAAGCTGAAGAAAAATATACGAAATATATTGTAAATGTTTTCCTCTTATTTTTCCTCAGAAATGGAGAGCCCTTGTGAATCGGAAAGCTCGCTGGACGGCGGCACAATGCTGCCACCGAGCCCGGTTTCTCGGGAACAGCTGCAAAAGCGCATCGAGTCGCTTACCCAACAGAACAAGTGAGTAAACAAAAAGTTGATTGTATTCGCTTTTGTATTTAACAATATATACCTATCCTACATATATGTAAATAGGGTTTTGAAGGCGGAGTTGGACACATTCAAAACAAAATGTAAAGTGGTGCAGGAGGAAAATCGCTGTCTTAAGCAAGCATCGGTCATCATTGTGAGTATCATTATTGTCTGCATTCTTTATGGGCATTCCAATTAAATATTACTCCACTTAACTCTTAGCAAGCCAAGGCAGAGCAGGAGGAGGAGTATATTTCAAACACATTGCTCAAGAAAATACAAGCACTGAAAAAAGAAAAGGAAACACTTGCGCATCACTATGAACGTGAGGAGGAGTGTCTTACCAATGACTTGTCACGTAAATTGGATCAGTTGCGTCAGGAGAAATGTAAACTGGAGCAAACGCTCGAACAGGAGCAGGAATGCTTAGTGAACAAACTGATGCGCAAGATTGAGAAACTGCAAGCGGAGACCGACAGCAAGCAAACAAATTTGGAGCAGCTGCGTCGTGAAATGGTCGAACTGGAGAACACGCTTGAAACGGAGCAGGAGGCCTTGGTTCTCAAGCTTTGGCGTCGCATGGATAAGCTTGAGAACGAGAAGCGCTCGCTGCAAATTAAACTGGATCAGCCTGTATCGGATCCAACAACGCCACGTGATATCACTAATAACGCCAACGGCGACACTGCCACCAATCTGAGCGCGCACATCCAGACGCTGCGTTCAGAGGTGTTACGTCTACGCGCTAATCTCGCTGCCGCCCAGAAGGAGACCACAATCAAAATGCAGCAGTTTGCCCAAGAGGAGAAGTCTATACGCGAAGAAAATGCGCGCCTTCAGCGCAAATTAAAGCAAGAGGTAGAACGCCGCGAGGCTCTATGCCGCCATTTGTCCGAGTCTGAATCATCGCTGGAAATGGATGAGGAACGTTTTTACAATGAGAATCTTATGGGCGGTGGAGGTGGTAGTGCCAGTGCGGCTGCTTGTGCGCAACGTCAGCGCACTATCAGCAGTCCCGTGTCACATAGCCCCTCAAGCAGTCGGCCGCTAAGTCCAGGCACAGCAGGCCAAAATCGGTGCTACGCCTGCGGACAGCTTGTGGTGAGTGAGAATCGGACTATGCTATATAACATAACAATATATTTCAACTTTTGTGTTTTTACAGAATCGGCGTGCCAGCGAACGCTTCATAAAGCCAGCACTACCCACACCAATGCTAGGTTTGAACACTTCCGCACCCAACGTGCTCACCACTGCTGTCAATCCGCTACTGGCTACGGGATCTGCTGCCATATATGGAGCCAATGCAGCTAATGCTGGTTCTATTCCCGGTAGTGGGGGTGTCAGTTTTCTATCGAATCTGAGCAGCGAACGACTGAATTTGGGAGCGGCTACTGGTATGTCACAAGCGGCGGGAAATGCCACATTTCTTGCTGGAGGCGGCAGCAGCACTGGCGGATTGCTGCAGTCATTGAACAATCAACCCGGCACGTCCAGCGCTTCGTCATCGTCATCCAATCTAATGAACATTAGCTTGAACAATTCGTCCAGCGGCAACATTGTTAACAGCAGCAGCAACTCATCACTCTCGGCATTTACGCCCACAAATCAACCCAGCGCCGCAGCCACTGCATTCATACAGCCGGCTAGTCCAATGGATACGTCTACATGTAAGGAGTAGAACGGAGCATTTCTGCTATACAAGTAAACATGACATGACTTTTCTCACACGTACACGTATACACGCATGCAATACACACAAAAACACACAACCAGTTTAAACGAAAGTAATAGAAAGTCTAAAGTAAGTTCTCTTTTTGGTGCGGCTCAAAGTCGCCTAATTTATGGATATGATGTATGTATATGTATAAGGTTTACTTGATCAAAATCTCCTGCGAAAAAATTAAAAAAATTTTCAATTGATAGCGGAATTCCTAACACGCGTACGGTATTTCAAGGGCCCGAAGAAAAAAACTTACTATATTTAGCGCTTACGTGTAAGAAGCGTGTTTTTTACTTTACTTTCTCTGTTGCAGTTAAAAGTAACTATGAATGTAAAAGGAAACAACAAATACTTTAACATTAACAATATGAATTTAAAAATTGTGAATTCTATTCATGTGAAACCATTTCCCCACTTTATCCTCGCATGTATGTGGGTCTAATTATTTTGGAGTATGTAAATTTATAAGTATGAGTATGATGATGTATGTATTTTTTGGTTAGCCTAACTCATAAAACTGAAAAAAAAAACTTTACAAACTATGAATGACAGTTTCAACGTTAATTAATTTTCGCCACATGTAAACTAAAAAAATAAAGTTCAACGATTTAAATCAACTATGTACGTCATTTAACATTTGAATAGTCGTTACACGTTCAGGGCTGCCGCGGTATGGTAATCGAGTTTGTAATCATTCACCATGCATTTGGCATCGGTACTTGGTATCGGAACACCGCAATGAATAACAAACGAAAAGAGGGCAGAAAAGTTTGCTCCACGGTTTAATAAATTGCTAGGGAAATAGAACCAGCAATAAATGAAAAGCAATAATGTATAAGGGAAGTGAAATATCGAAAACATAAAGAAAATACCACGCAGAATGTTTGTGCAAAAATATAAGAGCATTCTTTTAAGCACTTGTGAATACTTTGTTGATACTTTAAGTGGAAGGAGAACAGCGCGATGAATAACAAACAAAGAGGTAGACAACGTCAATCGCGTGTTGGCCAAAACACAAGAATGGTCAACAAAGCAAGAGACAAACAACAACAAAGCCGACACCATAGTCGCCTCTCATACACACGTAAAAGAAATCCGGTACCAAAGTCGCTCCGACGCTCTCACAAACTCACACCGACGCGCCTTTTTCATGTGCAAACTTTTAAAGCAGACGGCCAGCGATATTCGCGTCAGTCATTTTTTTGGTTTTGTGCGGTGAGGAACTTGTGAAGAAGGATCGTTGAGAAATCATTTGCCGCCGCAGTTGGTTGACCGAAAGTGCAAACAAAGCATAATCAGCAAGAGGAAACACCAAGCAACAGCAAAAATAGCAATATTCAATCAAAAGAACAGTGCACTTGTGTGTGTGTATGTGTGCGTGTCTGTGTTTTTGCATGACAGCAGAACCAGCCAGATAGAGATACATACATATGTATGTATGTATACATGTATGTTGATCATTGGCAAAGAAATAACAGAAAATCAACCAAGCTGAATGCTCATAAGTATATGTATATTGTGTGTATAATTAACATACATATCTTGCTATAAGTTTGTACATATGTATGAACATTGCTTGATTCAAAAAGTAAATCAAAGGAAAAGTTTAAAGCGAAAGTTAAATTGTAAAAAATGAAATGGAAATATCTGATTTTTATACTGCGCTCAAAATAACTGTTCAACAGCAGTTGCAATAACACCGCAAGATAGCGCGCGTGTCCCCGCGTTTGCATACATTCCTCCTCTCGCAAGCTGCTCGCGTGGAAAAGAAATTGTCATGCGGCTAGCCAACATCGGCGCTTTCTTGTCTTCTGGTTTCTTTTTTGTGGCGTCCCAGTGCTTTCAAAGTAAATTGTGATAGACCGCTTGAAGATTTGTGAATATTTTTGAACGTACGTACATATGTACGTATGTTGGTCTCGTTGCGAAGGACGTTGATATTGGCCAGATGTGTTTAAATGAGTGCGCACGTTGTTTATTATTATGGCCTTATTGAATAAACTGTTCTTTCCGTCGGCATCAGCACCCACACCAACAACAACTAATCTACAGGCGGCCGCAGCGCCATCCGCTGCGTCCCAAACCACATCAACAGCAGCACCACCAATAACAACATCAAAGCTTATTAAAAGTCAAGCAGCAGCAACAACAGTTGGAGCAGCGGAGGCGGCGTCACGTACACAGGCCTCTGCCAATAGTTCGACGCCCGTTAAAACTACACAAACTTCGCGAAATTACCTAAGGTAAGTGTTGCCCTCTCCCAACGTTTCTTCATGTGTGTGTATAAATAAATATGTATGTATGTGTAGAATTGCCAAACAACGGGATCTATATTGATAATGTTCAACAAAGAAGCATTGCATTGAAAAGAGTGCAATTGTAAGTCACAAAAAGAACCAAGGTGCTTTCTCGATTGCCATGCATTTTACTCCCCTCTATTATCTCTCTAACTCAAAAATCCACCAATTAACACACGATTGGTCTATTCCATCTTTAGACCGGACGACTTTCAAAACTCACAGAACTGTTTATTTAGGAACAAAAATTTGTATAATCGTCTTTTATTTTTTAACTGTATCGTTTTCGCTCGTTAATGGGGACCAATTTATAATAATTGTAGTACAAGTTCTTCTCTAAATACAAATTACATATTATACAAATATGATCCTCAAAAGTGTACATACTTGTATAGACGATTAACAGGACGGAACGTAACATATGTATCTATTTAAAAGATCGGTTGGCGCCAGCCCGTTTCATTTATATCCTATACACCCCCTCCCTCAACCACAGCTCCTCTAAATTCAACAAATACCCTTGTACTTGGTACAAAAATTTTGCATCCAAATTGCATATTAAAATGTTTTTTTTTTTGTCATATTGAACTACGTTTTGTAGTTTGTGGGTCACTAATATTAAGAATACTGGCGAAAGGTAATGCAGAGGGAATGGGGTGTGTCTAAAATCAATGTCGAAGGTGAAAAACCTTTGCTTGTATAAGATAATAAATGGTATTTATATAGAATTAATTTTCTGTGGATTTAATGCAAATCTAAATAAAACGGTCATCTTTATGATTCATACATTGTTTTGTTTTCCATTCAAATTACAATAAAAACAGGTGTTTTGGTTCTACAAATATCCAAACATACATATGTATGCATGTATATATACATACATACAGCTTTAAATAGGCTTATAAGCTCTTTGCGTGCTAATCAATCGACCTGTTCCGCCCCTCAGCACCACTGCACAAGTCAAAGTGCAATCACAAATACAAGAGCCGAAACCTACACGCATTATTAAAAGCATGTGTGTTGGTGTGCCCGTATGGCTGCTGCCGTACTGTATTGTAGTAGTTGTTCCCCCCATGTCTGGGGCTCTCTCTTTCTCAGTCACACGCTTGTTTATTTGTTCGCTCTTTTTGACTCGTTTCGTTTGCACAGTTGTTGGCGATCGTTGGGCCGGGTTGTGTCGAGCGAGATGGGGAGGGTGGAGAACAGTGCGACGTCAGGCGCAAATGTAAATAAAAACGAATCACATGACTTGCTAATCGGCGTTCACAGTCGTTGCTGCTCTCGTGATTATTATGTCATACGCATTTTGTTGTTGGCTGGTGGTGGGCTCCATTGCTGATGGTGTTGTGTGTGCCTGAGTCTCAATGCGTGTGTGTTTGTGCGCGCCTTTGTGATTGCATTGTTTTTGTTTTGTTAATTCATTTGATTATTATTTATTATTTATGTTGTGAGTGCACTAAATACTATGTTAACATTGATGCATGCTGTTGTCGTCATTACTGTTATTGTTGTTGTTTGTTTATTGATTGCCGCGATAAAGGAGCATGCATATCTGCTTCAATAAAATAGAAGGCAGTGTCTGTTGTTGTTGCTGTCACACCCACACTCGCGACAAAAACTGCAGCAGCCACTGACTGATGCTCAACGGTATGTAATTGTTAAAATTCAATTTGCATTTGTTGTTGTTCCTCTTTACAATCTGCCAGCGTTTTATTAACTAGATTAGCGGTTGCGTGTTTGCTCATTTGATAACAAATAATAAATGAAACATAATAATGGCAAAATTGACATTTTCGAGTATATATTGGTCAATTGTGAACGATTATCGAGCCACGTACCAACAAATGCTTTGTATTGGGTATTTTTGGATCTTGTCGATCATGGCCTTTCCTGAAAATTTTGCACATTGTTAATTTAAAGGTTACACCTAGTACTTTTTTGCCTTAGGTCAGTTTTATGGCACCCTAAATACCAAACACAAACCTTCCAATCATATTCACGTCCTCTATACTTTAACGTAAACGTCGCCTTGACAGCTAACATGAATTTATTAGGAAATAATGTTTATATGCACATGCCCAGCAGTAAATAAAAGTAACACGCTTGAGTAAATTTCCATGACATACGCTGGCAGCTAGACTAAGTTGCTGATGTTGTTGTTGTATTTTGTAGCTGGCGAACTTCACTTATCGTGCATTTCTATTTGACTAGACTACGACAGAGCCCGTGACCAAATAGACTTGTGATAACTTGGAACGCGTACCATCGAACTTCTTTTTGACGAACTCCGTTGCTTTTCATCATTTAATTAAGGTTAAAGTAAACATCGCTTACAATTTTGAGGAATTTGAGTCATTACGTTTACACCAACATGATTTCTAGTGGGTGCGGCATAATGATAATGTCAAAATGGTGCTGATGGATCACCAATACAATATCGACAATCTGATCTTGGTTTTTCCAACTACATATTCCCAATCAAAAAGAAATTTAGAATAAATCTAAAGAGTAGGCAAATAATTTTTTGTAATTATAAAAATATCATTCAATTTTAATTTAATATTTTCGTTATATTCTTATTATTTGTGTCATGATTTGCTGACGAGAAATATTGTAAAATAAATGCGTATGCAATAAATATTGTTGTTTTGTTGATGTTGATATCTAATACCTTTTGTCTAATATCTTGAAATCCTACCTTTTAATTATCTGAAATAAAAAGTTTATATTAGAAGCCTTTTTTTGGTATCCAACGGTTAAGTTATAATGCTATGAGAATGGCCACTTAAAGTTAGCATGCAAACTAGCGAGGACCCGGAGGTATAACGGAATGTTTGCTAAAATTTTCAACAGCCTGAGCTGTGGAGGAGGCAAGTGAATCATGTGCAGCTGTACGTACATACATTTGCGTATTTGTCAGTTAGTCAGCCAGTTATCCAGTTGGGCTGTGAATCATGGCCAAGGCACTGCTATAGAGAGAGAGGCGACAGAGTCGTGCAGCCATTTTTAGGCAGTCAGTAAGTCACATGACTTGCCGGTTAGGCGTGCCAAAAGAAACCAGACAAACGCATCATGTGTTCGTCTTCGTTCCTTAACCCAAATTGGCAAGTCATTCATGGTCGCCGATCTCGCGAATGGCTCGATATCTATATGCCAGTTATTAACATGGTCGTATTAATTTTCACGATAAGTGCGGGGAATCCTGCCCTACAGTAATACATACTTAAATAATATCAGCACCATATGCTAAACTTTCATACCACTCACGACTTTCACACACACACAAACATGCATTTGAGATATTGTTGGCTAATATATTGTACTAGAGTTATGTCGCACCTGCGTCATAAGGTGGCAAACAAAAAAAGAGTCTCGGACATCAACAAAAGAGGCCAGCCACATGGTCTTCGCTGATTTCTTTGTATTTTTTGCAGTCTTGGTTCAATTAGCACTCGATTGTGGAAAATTTGTGCCAAACAATCTTTTTATAGCTCCTAAATAGCGGCACATAGTCAGGCGGCAACACTCTTAAAAAATCGAGACACGAGTTTTAAAATATACAACTAAATCTATTTGATTGCTAATCGAATTTGGCGACGTCTGTGACAGCGATCGGGAGCGCAGGGGCGACGCCAACAGCGGCTGCGAACCACAAATCAATCTTCACCTAGGTACTAGTATAGACGCTTTCATTTAGACCTTTACACCACAGAAAAATTAACAGTAAATAAGAAATTCATTAAACGGTCGATAAGTGCTGCAAATTGTTTGGCCAAACAATTCGTGGCGGCGGCGTTAAGGTTGTAGTTATAGACGACTTAGGCGTTGGGGGTGGGCGGTACGACGAGGCATCAATCAATATTTCACATGTCCGTTTAATGGAGTGAGCAAAGCACATTGGGTCTGCGATTCTTGACTCAGCCAACACGTTTTTATGAATGAATTTTACATTTAAAATACTTTTTTGCTATGAACATAAACACCTATACATATGGGGGATACAATTAATAAATATTTGATAAGCACTGGCCAGATATTTTGTTATACATAATTCGGAAGTCCAAATCTTTTTCAACTCCCTTTCTTTAAATTTTGTATGCATTTTGTTTAGTTAAATGTATGTATATCTAAATCATCTGCCACATTCAATTAAACGCACATAAAATATTATGGTATTTGCGTCGAATTCATGGAGCATGGGGGGAAATAAAAAGTATTCATGTGATTTTTACGATTAGTGAAAAAAGTTCGGCCAACGATTAATGAAAATCATTTATCTAAACTCTTGTATTTTGTGGAAATTGCAGCCCGCGGATTATAAAAATAAAGCTTCATAGAATTTTCGAAAAGTTTCATTAGTTTGAAGTCACAAATATTATTAGGGATCTGAAAATACTATATATTCAGGTTTCACATTTTCTAATCAATAATAAACTTATTTTACAGGAACGTAACTAAATACTTATGTTGAATATAGAATTTTATTTCTTGCTGTAGTCGCAGATATTTTTATAAATTTTGTTGATAAGCTCTTGCCGTCTCGTTTTTCTATTTAAAATGCAATTGGTTGTTCGATTAATTCCTGGCCCAGTGTACAGTGTGGGAATCGAGTGACTGCCCGACTTAAAAATTGACTGAATATCCAACTGTGGGATTGATAAAGTGCTCGCCTGACTGACGGAGTGCCTTCTAACCAACGACAGTTAGCAGGTGGGTGTTGCGCTGAGGTGCGATTTACATGGGCCCCCAATTATGGGAGATCGTGCGGCGCCATCCAGTCTAGCGCACGCCCAGGCAAATTATCGAGCACGCATCTACATACATACATATGTATAAGTATGTATAAGAGTGGGTGTGTTATAGATTTATTTGGATAATTAAGTGACCACATGCTAACACGCTTGGCAATCAAAATCCGTCTCAAATAGTCGCCAAATTGCTATCTG